AGAGTTAATTGTGACAACTGGCATGACAGCAGCACACTTAGTTTTTCTTTGATTGATTGCAGTCATATATGGTGTGAGGTGAATGGTAATACATTTTATTTTTTTATTAATAAACGAAAAGTTTTAAAGGAAAATTGCTAGAGAGGTAAAAGTTTCTAAAAGAACCAGTTTATCTAATGCGTATTTTTGGATATCGAGTTTTTACGAAATATAAAAGTTATGGCAAAAAATGGCTTGAGGGGTGGTTATTTCAACCCCTTTCGAGGGGTTAAAATTTTCGAAAAACAGTTGAAAACTCGCATCTGTATTAGTAAACAACCTGTAAAAAATTTGTTATTTGTACCTCGTTCGGTTTTCAAATTACAGCCAATTTTCATAATTTTTTTGGAAACTTTGATGGCCCATATCTCTTCAGGGGTGAACATTTTACTACGGCGATTTTTTGCAGATCGTGTTCTTTTGAAATGTAGATTCACTGGTATCATTTATGCTACTCCAATCAAAAACACCCTGTATAAAAACGTATTTCTGGTTTGACTTAAGGTATGCCTTGGTATATACAAATTGTTATTAAATCTTCTATTATACTGATGAATGTCATTCGCATAAACTATATACGTTTGAAGGTAATGAGGGACCAAGCCATTAATTATTTTGAAAATACAGGGTGATTCACAACTTATCCAAAAAAATTTGGGAATAGATGTAGCATGAGAAATGAAATCAATATCGTAAAAAAATTTTTTGTAAAATCCTTGTAGTTTCCGAGAAAAAAAATATTGAAGTTATAGTACATTCAACTGTATAGCTGGACAACTGTAGTCTCTAGCGTCATTCGCCACGTGGCCTCAGCGACTCCGAATACTGAATTAGGATTTTGCAATCGTCCTTGCGATATTTACCTGTTATCTGTGGTGTTTACAGTTAGTTTTTAGTAGTTAGTGTCAAAAATGGGTAGTTAGTGTCTAAAATGGTTTGCGTGTACTCGGAGTTGATGGATATCGTTTTAATTTATGGTGAAGCTTTTGTGTTATGGTGAAGCAAACAACATTTGTGTTAGTTCGTAGAAACTGAGTACAACGGACCCAAATGTGTTTACAAATTGGTGGATAAAATTTTGAACAGTTGTTGTAACATCGGGTATGTCAAATGATTTTATTATTTAAAAACAGATTAATTTTATTAATTAATAAAGGCAAAAGCAGTTGAATTTGCCGATATAAAATAGATGTCGTTAATATACATCAAAAACAATAACGGTCCCAAGACACTACCTTGGGGCACTCTTCATGCATGATGGTGCCCGTCCCCATGTTTCTCTTGCAGTCTGTGAATTTTACATACCAACATTTCGGAAAGGTGGATAAGACGAAATGGCCGTGTACGCTGGCCAAGACGAAGTCCGTATATGAACTGTCTGGACTTTTTTGTTTGAGGGTGTATGAAACAAAATGTGTACCGAACGTTTTTTGTCGATCTTCAACAGCGTATATTTGCTGCAACTAATAAAATTTGACAAATGCCGGGATTATTTGCTCGTATGAGGACTAATTTTGACCATCGTTTGGAAGCATGGAAACAACTTTGAACAATTTTTGTAGAGCATATTAGAGCATATCGTCTTCTAAGTAATTCATTCATTCGTTTAATTTTTGTATTTCAGCATTTTTGAACTCAAAATTTAAACCGTTAAAACCGCCATCAAGGCTTTCGCACTGCGGCGCGCGGTAACTTCGATAGCAAATATACAGTTGGCTGCTGCACCAGGCTTTAAATTTGTTTAAACCTTCATAATATTTTTTTTTTCAATTTGAAACGTAATGTCTTAGACGATCAGTTGCTTAATAAAAGTTGCTCATGCTATTTCAAGAACGCCTTGTATACAGGGTAGGAAAGTACCGATGGTCTATCTGAAGTTACGTGAGAGCGATAAAGTAAGCCATAGAAATCCATGCGATAGAGAAGGATGGCTATAATGAAGGCCTCTCATAGTCACCGCCCGTTTCGCCCTTCCACAAATAAGATCNATAGAGAAGGATGGCTATAATGAAGGCATCTCATAGTCACCGCCCGTTTCGCCCTTGCACAAATAAGTTCCACTTCTTATTTGTGGAAGGGCGAAATGGCCGTTGACTATTAGACGCCTTCATTATAGCCATCCTTGTCTATCACATGGATTTCTATGGCTTACTTTATCGCTCTCACGTAACTTCTGATAGACCATCGGTACTTTCCTACACTGTAGTGTGTTCAAGGGTATTTTCCTTGTACCAAACAGACTTACATTATGCTATCTTAGACAATTCTTGAAAAATTTACATGTTTTAACAAGCATTTTTATTCAATGTATTCAAGATAACTCCGTCATTGTTTAAGACATTTCAATGGAAGTTGGCAAAGGATTTTTTTACCTAAAGCATAGATATCGCTAAAATTATCTGAAACAGCATTTTGGTTTTTGCCATATATTTTCCGACAGTCGAGATTTTTGGGAAAGGCAAATAATTGCATTACATCGTTCCAGATAAAAATTGCAATTATCAATTAGGCATGCACTCTGTGAAAGGGAGTGAAAGTAAATCAAATTCTGTTGAAGATGTAACTAAGTAGAACTAATTTTTTTCGTGAACTAGTAGATATTTTGTATGTTTTTTACTATTTACTTGTCTGTTCTCAAATGACTGATATTGTCATTTAAATGTAGTTTCTCAAAACAAAACTGCGGTAAACAATATTTAACAAGATCTCTATATGACCTAAATCAGTTAATTTCCATGCAAGGAAACTATCCTTAAAATATGGCCCGGTCCATTCGAATCCAGATCCGCTGTATTTATGTAATTTAGGTACGGTGTATTCTGTTTTTGATATTACTTTATCAATTACGGTGGATGTTTCAAAATATGTATACATTATTGTTATGTGCAGGTATGGAAAGTGTAGAATAAACAAACAAATATTTTGAAATCTGGTATATGAATTGACTGAACGAACACGTGTGGTTCACAGGACAATGGACTGCAGCGATGTTAGCGCTTTGGGTTGACATGACTCACCTTGCAGCCATATGATTAACGGTCGCTCCGTATAATTCGACACATCAGCAGTGGTGTAATACAACCACCAGAACATGTGAGCTCCCCGTCTTACTGTCACATGGCCCCACTCTTGCTCTGTACTGCCTAGAGGTTCCGCGCCTGGAAAATGAAATTTGGTATTAACAAATTAATATAAAATCTGCAGGGAATATACCCACTCAATTGTCAAATAACAGAATATGAAAATTGTTGGACAAGAATAATACGAGAGGGCAATTCCAACGTAGCTTTATTTTGTTTAAAATATAATCCTTTATTATAATAGAGAGCCATATCAGTAACATGCTATCAACAAGGCTGTACATTAAATAAGGTTGTTTCAGCTTCTTTTTAAACCTGTGTTGTTTTCTAAAGAGGTGGTAAATATTTTGGGAGATTGTTTAAGCCCGGATTTTCTACAGAGCAAAATTCACTGACAATGAGTGTATTAAATGATCATTGCCCAATAAAAAAGGTTCTTTTAATTGATTCCTATGGTTTTTCGCATTGTTTTGCAATGATTATGGAAATAGTACATTTGCAACATTATTTTTGCTTAACTAAAAAATTTAAAAGAAAAAAAAAACACCTACATAACGTAATTTCTAGTAAATACTTGTCCCAAAAAGGGTTCCAATATGGCTATTTCAGTCAATTGTGTGACTAAACAGATTAGAAGCAAAAATTCAAAATTTTGGAAAAAAACAGAAACTTTTAAGTTTTCTCAATAAAAATATAACAATACATTAATAAATAATTTGCGTCTAACAAAAAATATAACGTTGCTTAATATTAGCTGCTAAATCCATTCTTATTTTTCTCATAAAGTGGCCAGAATTGATATGTTAACCCTATAAAATGTTAGTCACATGATTAACATGAGGGATTTCTCTATACAGGTACCAACAAGAAGAGCAGGATAATTTCATACGTGAGATTTGATTGGAAGATTCAGATAGAAAGTGTTTCGTTAATTCAATAAAAAATTGTAACTTTACTCATCCCTTTCAATTAAAATAATACTGATACACTTATTCTTATCGTATATCTTTCTTTTCTCTGATGCCATATCTAATAACGTAGGGAATTGTGATATAAGCTGCTTAACTTGATATACAGATAATTGTCGTTTCGTAACGACGTGTGGGTAGTTAAAATTTGGAGTGTTTAGGTCGTACTGTTTGAAGGCAATATTAAATAAGTTTGTCTAGATTCTCGACAAAGTTTAAATGAAGACATATTTAATAATTGCAATGCTAATAATATATCTACCCTGATTTTAATTATAAAAAGCATCCCAGTAGTCAGACTTGTATGAAAATGAGTGATACATTTTGTAGGATATAACTGTAAGTAAATATAAAAAAACTGATTTATATCTTTTAAGGATTAGTTATGAATAGAGCGATTGTTATATTTCGTTATAAATTATTATTACATAGAGTAATTTTACACAAAAATGCAAGTAAGTAATATAAATTCGTTAATAAATATTTGTACGAAACAGCGCTTTAAAAAGGAAATTTACATTTACACATGTATGTACTTCTGAAAACAAACAAAATGATAAACCGATTCAACATCACTATACGTACTTATTTAGTCAGACTGTTTTAAGAGATTCATAATTACAAAAATTCGAGCTAGAATTTAACCACAACACTATCTTCGTACTACAAAATCGATACATTTTATTTTATTTATTTAAAAACTGGAAAACAATTGTCTTGAAATTTACTAAATGTTTCACACTAATAGTTGTTTACATTTCTTCCGTAGGACAAGACTGCACACGTGGTTTGCATCAGCTGTGCAGCATTAGGTTAAGCGCTGTTGTCACGTTGGCGTTGTGATGAAACTGCTCAATATTAATACTTACTGTATTTTGAAGACTGTTAATCTTACGCCCCTGTAATATACAACTTTGATTACTCTATCTCATGCTGAAGTAGTGGCAGCCAAACTTCTTACATCATGTAGTTACTCCTATTCATAAAATTGTTGAGTGAGAAGTAACGATAAAATAGAGAATTGTTTTGAATGATTCTGAAACTCACTATGGAGACTAAAACAAACCTCTTGTGTAATTGACGCATCTACAACATGGTTAACCTTATCAGAAAGATTCTTAAATACATAAAATTTACACTGTAGAACTATTGACTACAATTTGTGTCCCACTTTAGGTGCCAAAATCTGTGTTCGAAACATATTTAACTTTACTATAATTTTGTGCAATATTATATACGTTTTCTATTTGGTTCTCAAAAGTTATATAAATTTTATTTAAACAATTATTACATTATTTAAAGTTGTAAAAGTAGGATACAACTTTAAGCAAAAAATCTTCAAATATACAGGGAGGCCAAATGACAACGAAACAGAGCCATTTTCAGGAACTGCATCAAGATTGTAGAAAAACGCTCAGACCCGTCGATTTTAGATTAAAGGGGATTATTCTTTGCTGGTATTTTTGTATACTCCCCCAAGCAAGGATAAGCATCACCCCGAAATATTTAAATAGCATTAGGGGTTGAGTAATATTTCTTTTGAAAGCTCTTACAATTATTACCATTACAACAGACTTTAAATTTTATAATTCCGCCCAATACTTATTAAGAATTTTGATTTTAAAGTTAAAACTTATGTGCAAACAATTAGTAACGGTAAAAATTTCAGTCATTCGAGTTAAGTACGCCAATGGTATAAATTTAGTATTTCTTGCGTTATGTTGATTTTTGGCGATTTGTTATCACGTTCGTAAAAAAACACAATTGTAAAAAACAGAAATGAATGCCATACACACACAATGAACGTAAAATTAGTGGATTCCAAATTATTTTCTAAGTATTATTTGGAAGCGTTGGTTGTTAGTTTATTTAATTGTGCTTTGAAAATTAAATACTATGGTTTATTCCATTGAGGAAAGGGTAGATATCATTTCGCTTTACTTTATGTACAATAAATGTGCGAATAGAACAGCTCAGCTATTTAATGAACAACATCAAGATCGATATGTCAGGAGGAAGTATGTTCTAGAGTTTGTAAAAAAAATTCAAGAGACAGGGAACGTAGCCAGGAAAAAACGGGAAATTGAAGAATCTATAGTTAATTAAGCTAGTGAAGTTGCAGTTTTGGGACAAGTTCATCTTGATCCTACATTAAGTACGAGGCAGCTGGCATCTGTGTCAGGGATCAATCGAACTAGCATACAAACCATTTTGAAAAATAAATCCCATACCCATACAAAATACATTTAGTCCAGGAACTTCATGAGGATGGTTATGACCGCCGCGCGCCGTTTGCTAATTTTGCGAAATAATGAGTGAGCAAGCAGGGAACGATCCACAGTTCCTTTTTAATATCTGTTTTTCTGATGAATGCAGTTTTTCCTTGAACGGGACGGTAAATCGTCACAATTGCCGCTATTGGTCCGATTCAAACCCAAGAGTTTTTCACGAGGTGCATACACAGCAACCGGAAAAATTAAATGTATGGGCTGGAATTTTCGGTGACCGGCTGGTGGGTCCTTTTTTTCTACCTGGTAATTTGACTGGCCAAATGTATTTGCAATTACTGGAAGACGCTATTGACCCTGCCTTGACTGATATTATTGAAAATGTTCCAGAGTATGATGAAGATCATTTGATTTTTCAACAGGACGGTGCTCCTCCGCATTATGCGTTAATTGTCCGTCAGTATTTGGACCAACGTTTTCTACGGAATTGGATTGGGAGAAGAGGCAGCATTGAGTGGCCTCCACGATCACCGGATTTATCGCCCCTTGATTTTTTTTGTGGGGATACCTAAAAAGTAAAATCTATAAAACACAGCCAACGTCGCTGGAAGATTTGCGTCAAAGAATCGTCGACGAATGCTGTCGAATCACTCCGGAAATGCTTCGGAATGTGCGCGAACGTTTCGAACAAAATCTTTATTTTTGTATGGAAGTGGACGGCCATTAGTATGAACATTTAATCAACTAACTAGTAAATAAGCAACTAAAGATAATTTAAATTTTAAAATGTAAATTTTTTTCAAAGTATTGGGCGAATTATAAAATTTAAAGTCTGTTGTAAAGAGAATTGTAAGAGCTTTCAAAAGAAATATTACTCAACCCCCAATGCCATATAAATATTTTGGGGTGATACTTACCCCAATTGGGGTACCCCCTATTGGGGATGAAAGTGGCGGAGTCAAAAATACCAGCAAAGAATGTCCCCATCTAAAATCGACGGATCTGAGCGTTTTTCTACAATTTTGACGCAGTTCCTATAAATGGCTCTGTTTCGTTTTCATTTGGCCGCCTTGTATGTCAGCAAGTTTTCCAACGCAATCAACAAACGAATTTAGAAAATACTGAGGAAAATACTTTTAACGATGATAAAACTTCTCGTGTCTGAAGGTACATATCACATATCACTAACATTTTGCAGTCAACATGTGCCAACAAATAAGAAATTTGAACACCGTATTGCACGTCTTCCAGTTTTTCAGACAAATCCAGTTATTGCAATTTATCTTGCACAGAATTATTTACATGGTGGATATCATGCACAACACTTAATATATGTGACATAAGTAAAGCGGACTAATACTAATATAATGAAGTCATAAAAACCACTGTTGTAATGAATAACTCTCATATGTCTTTAAAGACTGAGTTATCTTAACAATTTCTGAAAAATTTATAGTACATTGTGTAACGAGTGGTGAAAAGTTGCCAATAGCGCCACGCGGACGCAGTTGCCAAGTGGCGCTATGGCAACTTTTCCGAACGAGTTGCACATACTTTTCTATCACAAGTGCGAGTCGTTATGGGACCTATAGCATAGGGGGTTAGGTGCACGGAAAGTGCTAGATAGTCCCATAGCGAGCGCGCGTGATAGAAAATATATTTTTATAAACATTTTCAGAATATGAGTATGTATAAGACGCTATATTGCAAATATAGAGGTAGATACAAATTGTAGAATTCTTTTAACCCTATTATCAAATTTAACAACAAAAGTAATACTATGGCACATTTCTTTTTAATTATATGAAAATTGATATTATGAATTATTAAAATTCAACAGTTTTTTGCATAACTTTAAAGACCACAATAATAAGTACATTCA